AGGGGCTGGGGGAGCAGAGCTGCTCTGCTGGCCAGCAGGGCCTTCACAGGAGTCCAAAAAGATGAGATGCAGGGAGGGAGTGCAGCACTCGGGCAGTTAAGGTACTCAGCAAGTGCGGGGAGCACACTGCTGCTACTGTTATTTCTCACAATCTGTCTTAGTTCCTTCTGGCTGCTATACCCAGGACCATGAGCGGGATGGCTGATACTCCATGGCATTTACTTACCACAGCTTGAGGGGCTGGGGACTCCAAGGTCCAGGGGCTGGAGAACCAGCATCTCTCAAATTCCAGCTTCCTTGCTTATAAATGGTGGCTGCATTTTTGTTGTTTGCTTGCTTGGTAAGGCAGGGTTTCCCTAGGGGACCCAAGCTTGCCTCCATCTTGGGATCTTCCTGCCTCGGCCTCCTGGTTGTGGGGGTCACAGATGTGTGTTTCCATACCTAATAAATGGTGCTTTCTTGCTGTGTTTGCACTTAGTGGAAAGGGGTGAGTATTCTGGCTGGACCTCTCCTAACAACCCTGGTCATCCTCTCAACTCCCCACCTTCACACGATCACCTTGGGGAGCAGATTAAAGGGGAGAAGATACTTCCTATGATGGCACAACCCTTTGAGGACCCAAATCAGAAGGTAGAAGAGGACAGGGCGAGGCAGGGACCACCTATGATCTCAAGATGAATAACAGTTCACTGATGGAAGATGTCAAGCTCCCAATGGCTGATGGTCCACTCATGGCCCTGGGCACAAGCATCAGTGACCACTGGAGTAGGAAATAGAATTTGCTGCCACAGCAGTGGCAAAATACACAGGTGGTGGGCACTACCCAGACGGGTCTTACAGCCATGTGGTCTTGTCTAAAAAGAAATGGAAGCCAGGCTTGCAGGCATACATCTGAGTTCTAGTTCCACTCTGGGAGACCATGGTAGGAGAACCACAAGTTTTGCCCAGTTTGGGCAGCTTCACAATTTAATAAGACTCTATCTCAAACTTAAAAGAAAAAAAAAAGAGTGGGGATGCAGCCAAGTGCAATGGCTCTATGTTCAATCCCCAGTCAATCACACACACACACACACACACACACACACACACACACGTGCACACTGCAACCGATTCCCTTTCTGGACTATATGACAATCCATATAAGAAGAATTTGGGGAACTGGGGAAACAGCTTATCAGTGTAAGCCCTGCCTAGCAAGCCCAAGACCCTGCGTTCAATCCTGGGTACTGCGCTGTGCTGGCCCCGAAACCCAGTATAGTGGCGCATGCCTGTAATCCCAGTGCTGGGGAGCCTGAGGCAAGAGGATCGCTACCAGTTGGAGCTGCATGGTGAGATCTGCACCACATAAATAAATAAATAATAAAAGATTTAAAAAGCAGAAGACTTTGGAATGGACACAGCCTCAAGCACAAAGTGGTTCTAGAAATGCTGCTTAGCCACACAATGACAAACAAGCTCAGTGCTTCAAACAGAGATGAAGTCATAGCCGAGGAGAACCTGCCTTGCACCCTTCAGGGCTGCCTTTGGGGCTGCTCAGAGTAATTACACAGAATTACCCAGTGACTGGCAACTGCACCTCCTGGCTTGCATCCAGAGACTTTGACAGAGACCTGTCCTCACATGCCCAGCATGCTTGGTGTGAGCAGCCACAGCGGTCCCCAACCTACATGGAACACATGCGTGCAGCAGCGGAAGAAGGGAAGAACAAGCTGCAGCGCCGACACCCACCTGGGGGCTTGAGGTCGACGCGCCCACGTTGCACACTTCCTGACAATCGCACTTTGAAGCTTGAAATCTGATCGTTTCATGAACTGCTAACGTCCTTCTCAAGCTGAGGGGCAACAGGGAATACTGTGATGAATGAAAGAAGTTGAATCCTTAAAGCCAGACACTGTATTAGTACAGGAAACAAATCCAGTTTCTTGCACCAAACTGACTCTGCTGTGACAAACTGGAAGTGGAAGTAGGAAGCAAAACAGAAAATAGATACTGTAAGACACGAAGAAATTGTTCAAAAAGAAAGGAGAACTAGGGAGAGAGGAGGGACAAAAGAAGGACGAGAGGCCCGGGAGGTAGCTCAGCGGCATTAGTGCCTGCCTGGCAAGTGCAAGGTCCTGAGTTCGATCATCAGTACTGAGAAAAAGAAAAAAAGGAAGAGAGAAGAAAAAATTGACACAAAAGGTAAAGTAGAAACAAAGCTTTGTAAATAAGGAGGGGAAGAGGGGCTGAAGGGCGGGGAAGGGAGTGGGAAGAACAGGAATCAAGGTCTGCTGTGCGCAGGCGCAGTCTCCCGGGGACGACGGCGGTCATTGTGCACATCCCAAACGGACCATAAGCTTAACAAAATGTGAGCCCCTTCAGGAGCAGACTGTCTGCAGTTAGGGCTGGTCATCGGTTGGAGAGGAACGCGCACTGTGCCTGCACGCGGTGTCAGCTCCGCGGTTACAAGGTTGTGAAAATCTCATCCAGCAGCGACACACTGCGCAGCATGCGTGCATGCGTGTGTGCGTGCGTGCGTCAGCACGAATGAGGGTGTGAGACACGTGGGTGCGGCTGCCGCAGTCCTCCAGGATGGGCCCAAGGAAGGCGGCGACAGTGACAGTCCAGAAGTTCTTCACCAGATTTGTCAGGAAAGATAGGAAGGAAGAAGGGAAGAAGGCAGGAGAGGAGGAAGGAGAAGGAAAGGAAGGGAAAGGGAAGAAGAAATTGGTGAAGAATATAAAAATACCCTTGGCAACTTCCAGAGGAACCAGCATGGACGCATTTTTTCCATCGAGTGCGTTCTACATCTCTGTGCTGTGCACAGAAACGTGGATATTTGTGCAGAGAAAAATACACATAAGGTGCAAAAGGTGCATGAACTTAGGACTGTAACCTTTCAGTTAAAGGTTTCAGGACGCCAGCGCTCAGAGCTGCGAGCTCCCTTCCTCTTCCACACTCATAGTGCAAATCCCTTCTGAAGAGTCAAGGACAGCTTTCTGAAGATTGCATTATAATTTTATTAAAGCAGGACTGAAACCTAACTTTAAACACAAAACAAGTCTCCTCCAAACTCAGGAGCTGCCCTTGCCTCGAGAGCATCTACTTTGTCCTGGCAGGAAGCGGTGCCTCCCAAGCTGGCCCTTGCGGCTGCACGCTGCAGAGCGGGTGTGACACTCAAGGTTCCTAAAGAAGCTGACTAGCGTGTGTTGGATAGTCTTGCCTCCTGCTGATGGCAGCTAAGGTGGTAAATGTACGGGAAGTCATATATTCAATTCTATTCCACCAAACAATATACATGCAGCCAGTTCTGAAGATACAGTTTAATTCCACGAAAAGCATGACTACAGCCTTTATTACTTAGCTCACTGGCTGGGAGTTAGCTGAGAACATGGACTACCAGGACACAGGGAAAGCTCTGTGGGTCCAGGCGGCTGCAGGCTCTGCCAGGACTGCACGCCCGCAGGGGCCTCACCCTTCACCCGGTCCCAGCTGCTGTGCTGGGCTGGGCTCTAGGTGGTCACTGCGCCCCAGGAGTTGTGCTCAGCCAGGAAAAGACATAAGTGGAAAGCCACTCAGGGCTCACAGGAGGCTCAGTGCCTTTCTGTCACATGCAACTGGACACAACAAGCCGCAAGGCCATCTCGACTCAAGGTGGGGAGAAGGACTCCATCTGCCGAGAAAGCCTTCATGGTCCCTTGAGACTGGAGACTTGCCCGGTGCCTCAGCAGGGGTCCACAGGCCGTGTGGGGGTTGGCATCCTCACGGTAAGGGAGAAGGCCTGTGTGGACGCAGAGCAAGTGAGGAAGTCACACGGGCTCCTTCTATATGAAGAAGGGGGGCTAGGAAAGGAGTCAGCGGACCTGGAACAGAAGGCACACACTGCGTGGATCTGGAAGAAATGAGAGCACCCTGCCTTTTTCCTGCCGTAGTTCTCAGAGCAACTCCGGAAGAGTGAACTCCAGGCCACCTGGCCAACTCTAGGCAGCTCTAGAGTTGTAAGGTAAACGCAAGGGCTTTACGAGGAACCAACTGTGGACCAAGAAACTGGGAAAAGCCTGGGTAGAAGACAGGCAATGACGGATTGAGGTCCAGGCTGTGGCATTTGAGGATGATGGGTTCAGGAGGTAAGAAGCCAACTTCACGCTCTTAGTAGAAACTTGGTCAAGGGGCACTTTGGTCAGGTCATCGCCCCATTTGGGAGAAAAGCCGCATCAGTGGCAGGCGCACCTGCAGCGTGTGTGTGACTGTGGCCTTCAGGTAGAGCATAGAAAATGGAGGAGGCTAGTAAACTTTGAATCTCATTAAAACAGGAAATAACTGTTTTCATATATATTTCTACAGCTGCATCCCCAAGCTCTTATCTGTTGAAGGAGGGTGAAATCCCTCCTTGCTATAAATAGAGGGCATCCTTCTAAATCCCTTCTTCCAGTGGCAACTGCAAGCCACTATGGGAAGAGCCAGATCTGCAAGTTGAGACTGAAGGTGACACTTGTTAAGAAATATCAAATAAAATATTTAGATGTGCTTCGATTTCACACCCTTAGCCTGGTTATGGAAACCCTCAGGGTTGGTGGAAAGGCTGCTTCTCTTCATGAGCAGCGAATAAAGACCACAATGAAGTACTTGAAATTGGTCTGCAGCACACCTCAGGGCAGAGCCCGCAAGTTAATCAACACTGATCTGCTGTGAGACCCTGGAGGGCTGGCTGAGCACGGGCGGAGCTGAATTCACAGCCCTGCTGCAGAAGGCGGAAGTGCAGTCTCCTGCCCGCGCAGCAGGCCCAGATCAGCTTTCACTGCCAGCCCCTGTTAAAAATGCATGCGGGGCTTAGCACGCTTTGTTCATAGCGCTGCTAGAGATCCTCACGTCCTCACTGCTCTTTCCTCCCTCACCTGCTTGTGAGGAGTTACAGTGTGAAAATAAGAGCTGTGGGTGGCTGGTGACCTATTTACCCACGAACGCTGGGCTTGCCAGGGAGCAAGAGTGGGGAACACTTACCCTGGCGTGGCACGGGGAGCTGCGCGCCCAGCTTCGGCTGCAGTTCCGGAGTTAGTGCTCTGGCGCGCTTCATCCTGAAGAGGTGCCCCGTGGGCTCCGTCTGGACTGCCTAATCCCGTAGCTGGTGGAAGTAGAATCTCACCAGAAATCTGTGAAAGGTCGATCAGGAGGCAAATCCTGTCACCCCACTCCAGTAATGCTGACCCCAGCAACTGAGCCTAAGGAGATCAGTGTGAATTATTTTCAATGTTTTGCATAAATGTTGTAAATTTTAAAATCCATTTTCATGCCGAGCACACCCTAATGTTCCCTGGAGGGCTCTATTCACACACCATTTAAAGACCATGGAGCGCGCTGTCCACCTTTACAATTCCAGGGACCTCGGAGAGGGAAAGCTTTCATTAAGGCGGGCTTGACGGGCAGGACTCGAAGGGTCACGGAACCACGTGGCAGCATCATGAAGCTTCCATCTTTATTTAGAGCACAAATTAGACGCTAGGATGCAGGAAATAGTAGGGCCAGCCCCTCAATAGGACAGTTCTGTTTTTCTCTCCCCCATCCCCCTCTCTCTCTGTGTCTCTGTCTCTGTCTCTGTGTTTGTCTTTGTCTCTGTCTCTCTATCTCTGTCTGTCTCTGTCTCTCTCTGTCTCTCTCTCTCTCTCTCTCTCTCTCTCTCTCTCTCTCTCTCTCTCTCTCTCTCCATCCTGTGGCCAGGTAGTTACTGATGATCTCCTGTGCTTTACCTCT